AGAATGCCAAGCCAGTATAAGATAATATGCCAAGCCATATAAGATATATACTCCAGCTAAACATTTACATCTTTAGATTTAAAAACGGGTTATGATAGGTCTATGGTGCAACTGAGCCAACAATATTTGTAACCTTCCAGCCAACACAATTGTAACCCATAAGGTACCAGACCCTGGCTGAGCAACAGACCAAATTATGCACAAGGGGGAAAAAAAAAAATCAGCCTTCTGTAGAACAAAAAAAGACAAAATGATAATAACAGTTCTGCCATGTGTTGCCGCAGAGCTATCACCTTTTCTAAGGTGTTTTAGCATTTGCATCTTTGTAAAAATGAAAAAAATGAGCCAGTGGATGAAAAGTTTTCTTGCACTGGAGTTTAAGAAGGAATTAAGCTGCATCTCTGCAATTCAGTGTGCATTCCTAAAGGCCTTCTCTTTAACCAAAACCTACAGTAGGGTTTTTAATATTCTTTTAAAAAACTTTGGAAACACCTGACAACTTCTGAGATTTTCTCAGAACACTTGACTAATTGGCACAAGAGACAGAGAAGAATCCACATTAACACAGTTATAGCTCTGACATCCTTGTACATGGTAAGAATCTTAGTCTCAGAAGCAATAACTTGCACTAAAAACAAAGCAGGAAATAAACTAAGAATCCCTAGATTCAATTAATAATCCCAGAGAAAGTTCTCCCTTCAGACATGTAATTCTATTCTGTGGAACAAATGAAGCCTGTAGAGTTTCAATGGACATAGGTTATTCATGGCTGTTTCATGCCTTAAATATTTGGGGAGCATTTAATTCCTTATTTTAATCATATATAGGAAGCTAAATATACTAATTCGTATCTTGGTGAGTCCCAGTCTTTTATTCCAATGTCTATTTATTTTTTACTTTTAGTAGTGCACTTTCATCAATACAGGCCTCTTTTTTGTTTGTACAGAACAAAAGCACGCCTACGGAAAATAGAACAAAGAACATTCCAGAATTAGATAAAAATATAGGGTTTAGCGATTTTTCCACCAGAAGATTTACAAAAACTTGGTAGATGTTTTGTTATGCAAAAAAATTCCACCAGATCAAGACTGGGTCAGGTAACATAGAAGTCTCTTACTGCTGTCCATGTAGTGCTTATGCCTAACCTGAGAACTCTGTTTTCCAGGGCTACTGTAGTCATAATGACCACAACATTATAACTTACTTAATGCATTTATATATTAAACATATTTTCTTTGTATAGGAAAGTATTATCTGTTGTTTGTTTGTTTTATCCTAATGAGTAATTTTCCAAGGAAAATGACACAGCTTTATGATACGGCTCCAGCAAAATTTAGATGCAGCTTCCGTAGCAGCGGCTTGCACACGTTATCCATAGTCAGAAATCCCAGCTCAAACACAAAATAGTGCCCACGACAACATACTACAGTTTGAAAATATTCTCAAAAGAGTGACAGTGCTTTCACTAGCCAGCTGGCAATAAATAACTCACCCAAATGAATGTTACGCTCTACCTGTGTATTTCACTAGACAAAGTAAAACCTAGAGTTGTGGCCACAAGGCCCGATGGCACTTGTAAGCCAATCAGCCCCAGCTTCTCTTTCTAAAATAACACTAAAAGGGAGCCAATAGCTATTGTGATCTGAATCTGGTCATTCTATACTGTCTTATAGCGCACATTGTGAATGATGGCTCGTGACCTAAAACATGCAGTCTGAGAAGTGTGCACAATGAGATTTTAATGCACACCCAAATGAAGGTTTCAATTTATCTGAATGGATAATGAGCAAATCAGCTATACTTTTAATCAAATAGAATGCTACTGAAGTTAGGACACTGCTGTTCTTATTTCTAGCGATTATCATCTACTATAGCAACTTCCTTTTCTTTGAAAACAAGTTTATGCAGTTCTGCTGCCAAAAAGAGGCAGAAAATAGGGCAGGGTGGCACCTTAGAGACTAACTGGTTCTAAGAGGCACGGGCCTTTGGCTCAGAGCAAACAGTGTAAGCCTGCACGCTGAACAGTGACACCACCTGCAAGTACCCTCTTCTCTCTGGGCAAGTGACAACCATCAGCCACATGGTATCGTGTTAGCAGACCCTAGCTGGAATTGGGACTGGCTGGCAGGGACCATCTGTCAAGCCTCCACCTTGGGCTGGAGGTGGTGCTGACAGCCCACATAGGGTGTTCAGCACTGATGGTAATTTGGGCTGGCAATGCATTGAGGCAGAGAACCTTCTGTACCCTTCCCTTAAGTCCATCGGGAAGCCCTGAGCTGGGGGAGGTGGTGCTGTCTATCTCTAATGAGTGTTAAGCATTGATGGGCATTTGGGACAGTGATGTCCAAGGCCCTAGGTGTCTACTGCCATACTTTAGGGCCTTCAACCTGAAACAGATTTGACAGGTGCCTTGTTTAGCACCCTGCCTACTTCTCTTGGCATCAGGTTTCACATCCAAGTTTGACTATCCCCTGCTCCAATTTTCTCTATCCTGTCATTTCATGTCCAAGTTTCCCCTTCCTGCTGTGCTCTACAGCTCGGCAATCTTGTAATGATTAAAACAACCATGCAGTCAGCTAACGGTTGAAAAAGGATTCATGGCCACCATCACTGGACTTATGTCTCAGGTTGGACAGGCTGCCTGGGGTTTCAGCCCTGAATAACCCAAAACAAGTCCCTCTCAGGGGTCATCTTAAATAGATAACAACCTACTTTGCCAGATGCTATATAAATATACATAGGAAAGGAAACTCAGAATTATGGGTCCTCACAGAAACATTTCATGCACCTATTTGGCCATAAACTTGACAGCACGTACAGAAATCCAAGACTGCATACATGCAAAGGATCAACTTACAAATACAAAATAAAGAGCACCATATTTCTTAATCCGTTTAATTTTCAACCGTAATACAAGTCTCACATTTTCTGTAAAGAGATGTACTGACCTGCCAAAAAACTGTTCCATTAACTCACACGCTTTGGTCCATGCTGTATTTAATGTGAGAATGGGGCAAAGCTTTAATTTTTAGAAGTTTTCAACTAAGAACATGTTCATGAAAATAAATCAGAAATGACTGAAGCTATTAATACACAGCGGTTTCTGCAGGACTGTAATAATAAAGATTTGGGTCAATGTTTTAACTCAGGTCATTTAAATTACATTTCCCAAAATGCTAATAAAACTGACATGTTTGAACATACTGAAAAAGTCACAGTCCATCATCCTGATGTCACATCAGTGCATTTGACTTTTTTTTTAATGTATGGATTATTCAATTACTGCAGCCTCCATATATTATATATAAAAGCTACAATCTGATTATATATCCATGTAGTGATAATTTATGAAATAGGGATAGGATGACTATACCGTTACCTCTAGGAGGAATATAACTCACAGTGACCAGTCTAGGAGATTGCAAGAGACTAAACTGAAGCCTGTAATCATCTTCCTTTTTCAAAAAAGGGTGCGACCTGTTGAAAAAGTAGCTGCCCAATTTACAATGCTCCATCTTGATTCAAGCAGGTTATTTAGACACCAGCAGTTCTCAACCTTGTTTTCACTCAAGGCAGCCAGAAAAGGCCTGATCTTGGCTTTCTCGTTTCTTGACTACAGAAAAATAATAAGAGCCTTGCTGCAAAGAACTCATGAAATAGGAATCAGACAATACTGATTCCTATTTGAAATCTCTGGGTTTCTCTCATGAATGATGCATAGATATTTGCACTCAAAGTGCTAATAGTGCGCAGCACCAGCAGCACCCTTAAAAGACTTGCCCAGCACCCCTGTTGAGAACCAGTTTTAAACCACAACAGGAAACCTGAAAGTGGGATCTTTACGTGACTGTGGCTGCAATCCTCCCTAATTATTTCAATTACCTGTCTTAGCTGCATTCTGTCAGCACAGCCAAAAGGGTAAAACGATATATATCCACAAGCACACTAAACCCACAGAAACTTAAGTGGTGTTAAAACTTGCTGTGGGCAGGTGAATGTTAAGGGTTAATAGCAGTCCTTGCCCGACTTGCCAGGATTCCTGGGCTCTGGGGGAGAGGGGGACAAGGGGGTTCTGCAGGTGGTGCCTTCTGGGTGGGCTGCAAATTGCTTTGTTTAGTCTCCATGGAGCAGGCTCAAGGACAAGTGAGGAAACTGGCCCAGTTCACCCTCCCCTGAAGTGGTGTCACCTTGACACCCTCGGAGGACCTGTGCAGCGCAGGGACTGGCATATCCCGAGCCCTTAGCATAGTCTGAGTGCAAATGTGGCTCTACTGGGAGGGGCTACTGCACACATTGACATCACGTATTATTCACAGTCATAGTCGTATCAGATCATCACTCCCCCAGGGTCTAGGGCCCTGGCCAGAGCCCCACAACCCTCACATCACTACCCACGAACAAACCCCAGGCGCATGCGCAGCAGGCCTGCACATCACTAAGGAGCAGCGGCGTGAAAGCCTGCGAACAGAAGCACAGCTCCATGCGCATGCGCATGCGCGTTCCCCCAACCCACCGCCACTGCAGCGCATGCGTATCCCCCTTTCCCGTGTCCAGAACCCCTCAACAGTGGCCTGCCCCTGCCCACACAGCTCAACCGCCTCGGCGCGCTCTGCGCCTGCTCTCTTCCTCCCCCTACCCCGAGCCCATCTGCTGCGGGAGGGAGAACGGTCTCTACTGCCGTCGCCGCCAACCAATCGCCGCGCGAGACCTTCTTCCCGCCCGCTGCCCTCCAGCCACTCACACGCAATAGAACTGCCTTTGGGGGCGGGACGTGGAAGCGGATTGGTCAGAAGGAAAAAAAATCCAAAAGGAAAAAAAAACAAACAAAAAAAAAACGACGGCAGCGCAGAGGCCCAAAAAGCCCGAGGGAAAGCGCCGAGGCCGCCACCAGCCCGCGGCAGCCCGATCCCCAGACAGCAGCGCCCAC